AAGCCGTTATATGTAAGAGATATTTAACAAAGGAAAATATGATTCTGGAAATTTCTCTGTGTCTGTCTGCTTGTTCATGCAGTTAATATGTCTTTTTATACTAATTATCTCTGACGTGAGTCTTTTATGAAAGAATAGCTCTGTGTCAAGTATTTGAATATTTTCCCAATCTAAATTATGTCCTAATTTCACTTGATGATCCGAAACGTTTATTTTTTATTCCATGTATTTAATAAAGGATTTGAAATAATCGCCACTGTTATCTGGTGTTCGTGGTATATGCCTTTCAGACAAAGAATTGTTTTGTTTTTATTGGAACCACGGTGTATTTATATTTTTATTGACAGAATAAACTTGGCGAGAGCCGTTTATGCCGATGCCGACATATATCTTATGGACGATCCTTTAAGCGCCGTAGACGCCCATGTGGGCAAGCATATATTTGAAAAATGCATCGATAAATATTTACGAGGCAAGACTCGAATTCTCGTCACTCATCAGTTGCAATATCTACGCAACGTCGGTAGAATTATCGTTTTGAAGGACGGAGCTATCCAAGCTGAAGGGTGATTCTACTGCACTTTCTATCTTTTCAATTCACCTTGTTATTTGCGTAGGTTAATTACCTGTTAACATGATAGTATCATTGTCATTTCGTAGAAAAAATATACAAATATTAATGTTGATTCGTTTGTAAGCGTCACTTCTATTACTTTATATGAAATTATATGTTCATCAGCACTTACGAGGAGTTGGGCTCTATGGGAGTGGATTTTGGTCGACTGTTAAAAAATCAAGTGGAGGCAGATGAGAAATCGTCTGTACTCTCCTCGCCTCCCGTTAGCCGTAAAAATTCGCTCATTGCCAGTATCACGTCGCTGAGTTCCTTAATGACGAATAATAGTTCGAAACAGGATCCTGATGAGGTAAAAAATTTAGGGATTTATTTTATAAATTACTTTCTAACTGTGTGTGTGTGTGTGTGTGTGTGTGTGTGTGTGTGTTAATATCAGGGATAGGAAGTAACTCGTTACTTGTAACGAAGTTACAGTTAGAGTTACTTTTTTTCAGTAACTGTAACTTAACTTCGTTACTTTCTTTCCATCTGTAATTATAACTTAACTTAGTTACATCTTTTAAGTAACTAGTAACTAATTTAATAGTTACTTTCATAGTTATTTTATATATTTTAAACTTATTTGTCCACGCTAGTGCCCACTTGGCGCTACAAATACTTCGAAACATTTGATTAATCAGATGAAAGAAATTTAATTAAAGCGTTCAATGAACTCTTGTACCTGTTTGGTCTATATTTTGGGGTCTAATGAAATCCGCCAATCAAATGCAAGAGCGCTCAATGAACGGTTGTAGACCATTTTGGATTAGTGCTGGAATTTATTTGCAATTTTTAGCCGAATATAAAAAGAATTTTTTTT